GATTTAGCTCTCAGAGGAGTGGTAGTCGGAGGGAGAGAATTGGAATATTCAAAGGAAAGGAGTACCAAGACCTTGCGCTTGAAAGGCAAAACACTCCAAAACCATCCACAAAACTCGCCACCCCCGTTCCCTTTCACTCTCCCTCCCCCAAAGCAAAAAGTCCCCTGCACTTGTTTATATGACTATGATTTTAATGTTAAACAGAACCACGATTTGTTAGAACTTCTTTAACTAAAACCGGGCAATTAGCAAAAAAAAGATTCCTCCACAGTTTCACCGAATAGAATTTTGTTTCTCTGGCGGAATACTCTGGCGCAGTATTGGGAGATATCGAAGATTCTAGAGATGTGCATTCAAGAGCGGTTTCTTCCACCCCACTGACAGCCTTTCCCTGTGTTCTTTTAACATTGTACAGTACCATTTTCGGGCAAAATTTCCCGCAAAAAGGTCTCCGTTCGCGGCTCTCGATTACTGCCTATGCGTTTCAGTGGATGGCTCCGATTGCTGCTGGACGATCGGCGTGCGAAATAATTGGAATCGTGACAGGATGCAGCGAAAGACATGCTGTGGTATGGATTGAGAGCGAAAAACGCGAGGAGAAAATACAGCTTGTTGATTGCTCCGAGAATATCCGACTTGGTGACTGGCTCGATCTTACAATACCACGTGAAATCCGTAAAATCGAACCTCGCCTGGAGACACGAGTACTGGAAAATGGAATTGTTCAGGTATAACTGTTTTTTTTTCCTGTACTTTTTGATATATGTGTAGTGAAATATTAGAACTGCACCAGTCGACTGTTGTATTAGTTAGGCGCAAAATTTTGGGGGGTTTTTTGAAGAAAAATATCAGTTTGACTGAACGGGGGAAACCAATGAATATGGCATGTTACTGGCTTTGTTCACAGGTGATAGACACCATGTATTAGTAAGTGGCGACTAAACAACCACTTTAAATAACCTTGACCGGATCCAGGGAGAGGGCGAGGGGGGGAGGGGGCGATGAGTCTTTCGCCACTCATCCTGTACCCTCCCAGCGGCACAGGTACCAGTGCTAGAAATGTGTGGGTAGAAAGCTAAAACTGAAGAAAACTCTCTTCCGTATTCCCCACCACCCCCTTGTCGTCGCTACGCCTGTAAATCTATCCTCCCCTGAGTCCGAAATCCAAGAATTCCCTTAAATCTAAGTCATTATGGCCGTTAATTAGCCGAAACACAAGAATGAAATCAGAAAC